CAGACAGACAGACAGACAGACAGACAGACAGACAGACAGAGGGGGGGGGAAAGAAAGAGGAGGATGAGAGATGAGAGAGAAATGAGAGGGATAGCAAGATAGAGGGTAACAGAGAGGGAGATAGAGAGAAAAAGAAAGACAGACGAGAGAAAGATGGGAGAGAGGGAGATATATAAAAATCCTCAATAAAAGAATTGTTCAGAATAATGAAGAGTCTTTTTAGAGCATGGACTGAGTCAAGATGACCTTCAGATGGTGCCGTGCTGTGCAGTCCATGCACTGTAGTTGTTGATGTGCTCCGAATGTTGGATCTGCCGGACTCCTATTGGCTACTTCAGTGGGGCTTCTGGCATCTTCCCGCCCCCTGTGAGCCCCTTGATCCGGACACCTGGTTCCCCCGAGGCGCCTGGTACCCGGATGCTCCTCAGGTCTGATGGAGGCTCTTTCTCCTTATGGATTTCGGGCTCTCTGGGAAGAAGGTCCAGTCCTGGGAGACACAGAAGATCAACTGGAAGTAGGAAAATGAGGTCCTTCTGCCATTTCATGCTCTTAATGCCTCCATCCCATCCATGTCCATTTGCCAGCATTCAGCTCCTCCTGCCACTTAAGGGGGTTTCAGGAAAGGGCCTTCCACGGGGCAGGGGCTGCTACAGAAAAGTCACACTTCCAGGGTCCCGCTAGATGTCAGATTGTTACCATCACAATTTGGGATAATTATCAGTTTTATCATGGTTTGTCTCCCCTTCTGCAGCTGCTTGTTGCAAGTGAGCAAGGGCCCTGCCAGCCACCCTCGCCTCAAACAAGTTCTGGTCTTGATCGTGGATTTGAATTCTTAACATGTCTCCTTGAATGGGGGAAAGGTTTTCAGGAACACACTCCTCAAACACACATGTGAGTTCACATGGACAATGATGCATATTTACATAAACATGCATTCACGTAAACAATACATTTTTTTGCCTTTCAGAAAATATACCAAATTTCATTTTCCGTTTTCTTATTTTCATTTCTATAGGTGGCATATATCCTCAAATTCAATTTTGATATAATAAGCAATTTACTTCATTGGTTATTTGTGGATTTGAATTCTTACATTTCTCCTTGAATGGGGGAAAAGTTTTCATAAACACACTCCTCAAACACGCATGTGTGTCCACAAGGACACTTACCCGTGTTTACATATGTCTATATCCATGTTTCTCAACCTTCACAATTTTAAACTCTGGATTTACACTCTCAGAATCCCCCAGCCAACATGAATTATGGGAGCTGAAATCCTTCCATCTTCAAAGATGACCATTCCCAACCAACACCCAGGAAACATCCAGTATGGCCTAGAGGTTAAGACCCTGCATTAGAAAGCCTGAGGCCCTGGGTTCCAGTCCTACCTTGGCCATGGAAGGCTGATGGGCGACCTTGGTCCAGTCTCTCTCTCAACCTAACACAGGGTTGTTGTGAGCCAAATAGGTGAAGGAAGATCCGTGGGATATCTTCACTGTCTTTGACTTATTTGGAAAAATAATAAAGGTGGATATAAATTTTTAAAAAAGCATTTCCATTCTGCAGGGGCTTGGCTGATGGTTTCCCCCTTGCAGGGCGTTGCCTCCATGGGAAGAAGGAGGAGATCTGAGTTCTTCCCCCAAACATTCCTCTTTCCTGTCTTGGGGTCTCTGGGGATTAGGAAGCCCCGCTTCCAGCCTGCAGAGAGGGACACTCTTCACATGGGCAGGGGCACCCTCCACGCCCACCGGAGGAACAGAGGCGATTGCGGAGCACGTGGTCCCGGCAGGGAGGGGAGATTAGAGGGGAGGGGCGGAGGGGGAAGGACACGCCCCTCCAGTCCGCCTGACTGGATTCCCGTTTCTTCCTTGGAGGATCGGCGCTGGATCCCTCGGGAGTGGCTCCTGGATCCCGCTGGGGGCAGGTGGGGCTGGTCTCCCTCCGGCCGCCCCACCGCCAGAAGGAAGGGAACTGCGGATCCCTATCTTCTGCTTCTCGGGGGTTTCCTCCGGGAGATCCGGCTGTGGCGTTGCCTGCAGGGAGCGGATCCCTCCCTTCACTACAAGGGGTCAAAGGGGGCTCCGGGCGGATCAGGGAAGCGACTTTTGGGTAACGTGCTTCAGAAGGTCTCCCTGTGGTCCGTCCGAGGTCTCTGAGCATCCAAATCCCTCACCTGCAGTTGCAAAAATAGAGCTTTAAAACCTTTGTTGAGGTTTGCAATGTGCTCTTAACACAGATTGGCCTCATTGCAATTGGGGAGGGGAGAGTTTGGGAGAAAGTTTTAAATGAATTGAGTTCACTTGTCTTAACCCACAAAAGATCCTTTTCCCCTGAGCTCAATTTCAAAGGGGGACAGATGAAATCCTTTGTTCTTATGGTAATCTTGAATCTGCCTCTGATCCTAAACGCTGGAATCGGGAGAAATAATCCTTATTTTCCTTCTTTTGCCCTGAAGAGGCTGTGATGTGGCCCTTCATGGTGGCTACAAAGCAAAGGTTTTAAGGGGGTTTGGAGGCTGGTTGCCACCTGATGCTTTCATGTTGGTTTCTTCAGTTTTAGTTCCATCAAAATCTTGGTTTGGAACATAAGCATTTATTTTTTTATGGGTCCAATTTGGGTCGGTTATCAGGATCATAGGTTTTGTCTTCCGAGTTTTCTATGTGTGGTCCACATCACACACAGAACAGCACACACTCTGCTGGAGGGAAGTTTCCTGAGAACGGGCTCTACCACCAGTCCGAAAGCTCAGAAGACAAAACTTCTGATCCTGGTGACTGACTAAGATTGAAGGAAGAAGGGGATGGAGAGGAGGAAAGAAGGAAGTAGAGAAGGAAGGGAAGGAGAAAAGAAAAGAAAGAGAAAACAAGGTGGTGTCTTAGCAGGTGCGAAGGAT